GAAGATGAAATTATTACATTAAAACTTAATAAAAAATTAGATAATTTCAAAACCAATAATGTTTCTCCTAATGAATCTGAACATGAATCTGATGAACCTACTAACCCTGATAATCTTTTATTTGATAATCGGTCACATCAATCTCAATCTCATAATCATGAAGATAATAGATTAAATCTCCTTAATAAAATTCATATTCAAAAATGGTATTCTAAAATTAAAATAGTTATTAGTAATTTTGAATTAGATGTTATCACTATAATTGATACTGGTGCCGATCTTAATTGTATTCAAGAAGGATTACTCCCTACTAAATATTATGAAAAATGTCGTGAAAAATTAACTTCTGCTAATGGTAGTAAAATGCATATTAAATATAAAATACCTAAAGTTCATATATGTCAAAATAATGTTTGCTTTAAAACTTCCTTTGGTTTGGTTAAAAATATGACTGATAAAGCTATTTTAGGAACACCATTTTTATTTTTACTATACCCATTTACCACCTCTAGTGAAGGAATAACTACTCATGTTTTAGGGCAACCTGTTACTTTTAAATTCTTATCTCCTCCTGAAATATTAGAATTAAATCAATTAAAAGATTGTTCTATTTCTCAAACGATTAATCGATTAACTCGTCATTTAAATTTTCTTAAAGAAGAAATTAATTACAAAAGAATTGATCAACAATTAACTAATCCAGTTATTATTTCTCAAATTAATGAATTTAAATTAAAATTAGAAACTATCGTTTGTTCTACTTTACCTACTGCATTTTGGCATAGGAAAAAACATGTAGTTACATTACCATATATTAAGAATTTTCATGAAAGTCAAATTCCTACTAAATCTAGACCTATTCGAATGAATCATGAATTACTTGAAATGTGTAAAAAAGAAATAAATGAACTATTAAAAAATTGAATAATTAGTCCAAGTAAATCACCTTGGTCATGTCCTGCTTTTTATGTAAATAAAAATGCTGAATTAGAACGAGGTGTCCCTCGCTTAGTCATCAATTATAAACCATTAAATAAAGTTTTAGAATGGATTCGATATCCTATTCCTAATAAAAAAGATTTAATTAAAAGACTTAGTCAAGCTGTTATTTTTAGTAAAATTGATTTAAAAAGTGGTTTTTGGCAAATACAAATTCATCCTCAAGATAGATATAAAACTGCTTTTACTACACCTTTTGGTCACTATGAATGGAATGTCATGCCATTTGGGTTAAAAAATGCTCCTAGTGAATTTCAAAATATAATGAATGATATTTTCAATCCATTTAGACATTTTTCCATAGTTTATATAGATGATATTCTTATTTTTTCAAAATCAATTAGTGAACACTAGAAACATCTTACTGCATTCTTTTATACCATTAAGAGTCATGGTCTAGTCATTTCTGCTCCTAAGATTAGATTGTTTCAAACCAAAGTCAGATTTTTAGGTTATGATATTCATCAGAATACTATTTTACCTATTAGTCGTTCCATTGAATTTGCATCTAAATTCCCTGATGAAATCTTAGATAAAACTCAGCTACAACGTTTTTTAGGATCGCTGAATTATATTGTTGAATTTTACAAAGACCTTAGGAAAACTTGTCAACCACTGTTTGATCGGTTGAAAGACAATCCTTCTCCTTGGTCTTCTACTCATACTATTATTGTTAAACAGGTTAAACAATATGTCAAGTCTCTTCCTTGTCTTGGTATTCCTACTGAAAATTCATTCAAAATTATTCAAACTGATGCCTCTGATATCGGTTATGGCGGCATCCTTCTCCAGCAAATTACTCCTCAGTCATCTGAACAAATTGTTCGTTATCATTCTGGTGTCTGGAATAAAGCACAAAAGAATTATAGTACTATTAAAAAAGAAATTTTATCTACTGTTTTATGTATCAGTAAATTTCAAGATGATATTTTAAATCAACAATTTTTATTTCGTGTTGATTGCAAATCTGCTAAATATGTTTTAGAAAAAGATGTTCAAAATCTTGCTAGTAAGCAAATTTTTGCCCGTTGGCAATCTATTTTAAGTATTTTCGATTTTACTATTGAATATATACCTGGTTGTCAAAATTCCATTCCTGATTTAATGGAACGACTAATAGGTAAAATAGTATTCTGGTGAATATCATAACCTAAAAATCTGACTTTGGTTTGAAACAATCTAATCTTAGGAGCAGAAATGACTAGACCATGACTCTTAATGGTATAAAAGAATGCAGTAAGATGTTTCCAGTGTTCACTAATTGATTTTGAAAAAATAAGAATATCATCTATATAAACTATGGAAAAATGACTAAATGGATTGAAAATATCATTCATTATATTTTGAAATTCACTAGAAGCATTTTTTAACCCAAATGGCATGACATTCCATTCATAGTGACCAAAAGGTGTAGTAAAAGCAGTTTTATATATATCTTTAGGATGAATTTATATTTGCCAAAAACCATTTTTTAAATCAAATTTACTAAAAATAACAGCTTGACTAAGTCTTTTAATCAAATCTTTTTTTATTATTTCCGAAACCATATTAAATGAGTGTTAATTAAAATGATCATAATTCAAATTTTAATAATTTAATTGTAGTTATACTCTATTTCAAAAGTTAAATTAACCTTATATTGATAATTTATTAAAATATTATCTAATAATCAAATAATTATTTCATTTATATTTTAGATCTATCTTTCAAACCTAATGATATAACAATCTATTAAAATATCTACGGTTAGGTTTAGTATCTCCTAAAAAAGTCAAAAAGTCAAAAGTCACTATCCTTCACATCATGTTATTTAAGTCATATCACTTCTCTACTGCATCACTTTAAACCCAAGTTATATTTCATAAAAAGTCAAAAAATACACTTATTTATAATATCTTAAACAACTACTTAGATAATTCTCTCTCATATCTTTTTTAATTATCTATCAATCATTTTACTTATATATCATTAAATTTAAAAAATAAATATAAAAAAATAAATTTATACATCAATTTTAATAATTTAATTTTTATAATACACGTATCCGAATAATATATTATTGGTACTTAACATTGCATTTAAAAAATTACCATAGTATGATTTGTTTTTACCACCGTACCAATATCTCACAATTCGTATCATTTTTTTTGAGTCAGGGTTCCTTTTAGTTTGAGATTGGATTAAAACATATTATTGAATTTGTGATTGTTCATCACGGTCCTGTTTCAATAATTTAAATTATTTTATATACAAAATTTGTCTAATATTTTATTTTTATAAAAAGATTACATTAATTGAATATTGATAATTATTTGATCATGTCAGATTTCTCTCGATAGTAATATAATTTTTAAAATAAATTATTAACAAAATTCTAATCCAATTAAATAACTATCGATATCTAATCAAATTAATTTTTTACAAGAATAAATTACTCAATAAACTTAACATATTAAACAATTTAAATTATTAAAATAAAATACGTGATATATGCTATAAATCTAACAATACCGGACAATCAACAAAATGTATTGTAGACAAGCCTGGCACTTTCTTTTTAGTAGAAAGAGTAGAGGAGCGATATAGCGAAAGTTTCCAACAAGTCAAAGCACGTACATCAGGGGGGGTGGTGGATATGGAGTAATGGAGATCACACCAAAATTGATTTGAGAATCCTTAAAAAGATTATAAAATAATATCATAAGATTCTTCACATTTCTGAGAGAAAGAGAGAGAGAGAGCTTTTTGTAATTGTTATATAGAGAGAGAGAAAGAGACCTGTTTGAAAGAGACAACATGCATTTAGCATACAGACAGCTTCTGCATATATAATCACGGAGTAGTCAGATTTTTGATCAATTTGCAATCAATTTTTTTGGTAAAGGTTAAGAGATTCGGATCGGAGAGATGATCAGAACCGGTGCTGTTTCGCGGCGGAAGAGATCGTCGGACATGATCGGAGAAAGCTTCGACGATGTATCGCCTTCCGATTCTCATGAAGTTCATGTTCTTGCCGTTGATGATAGCCTCGTCGATCGAAAAGTCATTGAATGATTGCTCAAAATCACCTCCTGCAAAGTTACAAATCAATTCTCTCTCTCTCTCTCTCTCCCTTCTAGGAGGCGACAAAGGCATGTTTGGTGGAGTTCTTTGATTATACATATTTTTTTAAACACAGATTTGAGTTTTGAATATATAAATATATATATATATATTTATATTTGTGATCAAAAGATTATATATCCATATTTTTAATTATTTTTCAATGTTAACAAAAAGATTACTTTCATATATGACTATTAAAATTTATTTAAATATATAACAAAGTTTACAATAAAAAAAAAATGATCAAATAATCTTTAGTACTAAATAAAATGTGAACAAACTATAATAAAATATTACTTGCACTACTAAAAAACGGTGCTTTTGCGACGGTCTTAAACGTCCCAAAAGGTTCACATAGCATTGCAAATGACTTTTTGCGACGGAGTAGCTACGGGAAATGGGGGGTGGCGGAAGGGGGTGTGACAAAAAGTATTTGCGACGGTTACAAAACGTCGCTTTCTTTTAGCGATGGCTAATCAATGGTTTTTGTGACGGTTTAACCTGACACAAAAAAAAAAAGAGAAAAAACTTCATTTTTAGTGACGAAGTTGATTGCCGTCGCCAAAGATGGTATTTGACGTCGCAAAAAGTATTATTACTGACGGTTTAAAACGTCACCAAAAAAGTAGAATTAAATTAATAGCGTATTTGTGACGATTTAAACCGTCGCAAAATATTGGAACTAATATGTACATGTGACAGGTTAACTCGTTGCTAATAAAATGTAAGGAAATAATGATTACATTAGCGATGGTTTATTATTGTCACAATAAAATTGTTTTCATAAAATCATATTTTATTAATTCATTCCATGTACAAATTATTAATATTTTCTAAAATACAATAGATCCACATCCGCATGCACATCCACATCTAAATTCACATTCACAAAATCATATACCAAAAATAATATATATGTACCCTGTAACAATTGTCAACCAAATATTCTTTACAAAAATATATAAAACAACTTCCAACAAAACTAATAATTTTTGATATTTAAGAACTCAAATTTTTAGTATCGACAATACAAATAAAATAAAAAAAACATATTGTAGCTTGTTTTGATATCAATAGTAAGCTTCAATATCGATATGCGAAGATATCATCACGTGCTCAAAAGGGTTGCATCTGCAAAAAGAAAAAAAAAATCATCATTTACAACATAATTAATTACAAGCTTACAGAAAATGTAAAACATTTTATATTTATTTCTACAAATAAATAAATAAATAAGATTGTAAACTCTAATATCGATATGTGAAGATATCATCACATACTCAAAAGGGTTGCATCTGCAAAAAGAAACCCAAAAAAAAAAAAAAATTCATTTACAATATAATTAATTTTAAGCTTACAGAAAATGTAAAACATTTGATATTTATTTCTACAAATAAATAAATAAGAAAATGTAATTCTGACATGGTTGATAACTCTGCTTTATGAAGAGAGTGATGGCTTAAAGTTGTGGGTCAATGCTCTTTCTTTTGAGCCTTTTGAAGTTTATAATATACAGAGGCCCTTTTTAAGGCATCTTTGAAATCCCCAGAATTATAAGCCTCAGTTTTTATAATAAAGCTCCAAATTCCAATTCCAAAAGGGGGAATTATAGGAAGGAGCAAATCCCATGGTGATTCTAAGCTTCCAAGCAGTAGTAATCCACTTTCCAACAGTTAAGCATGCATTACACAATATTTCCACACACCACATTCAATTATTCAATTAAAGAGATCCTTAATTTTTACCCAAAAAGAAAAGAAAAAAAAAATGTTTTAACCACCAACACTGACAGAGGAGAGCAAAGGAAAAACTAATTTGAATTAGTAGAAGGAGTTGACTTTTGAGTTACTCAAAACAAATACCCAAAAATATACAGAGATAATCAAGAGAAGGAACCAAAAAAACTGCAGAATTGAACAATTCCAATAGATTAAATGATGAAATCGAAAGTTCATACAATCATAAATACCAAAGAAATCAATTAATTTGATAGGTAAGAATCGACTTATATGTATATCTCAAAAGGACAAAAGAAAAAATTGGGGAAAACATCAACTTATTAAGGAGACCTGCAATCATTACATTTTAATTCAAATTTTGAAATGTTTTTCTCACCATTGCCCTTTTACTTCAATTTTAATATGTATTTATAATGATTCATAGGGATAGTTTTGGAAACCTAACATAATTCCGTATCTCAAAATAGAAAGTGGACAAACATTTTGGGACAGATTAAAAGGGAAAGGTGGACAAACAAAATGGGACGAAGACAGTAATCAGTAGAGGGAAAAAAGTATTTGGAAGAAAAAGAAGAAACCAGAGTTCTCTGTTGTATAAAGTAAATACAACTTCAATTCATCAAACTAACAGGAGAAGGTGAATTTCACAAACCCAATATTCCTTTAAGATTAATTTTTCAAGAGATAGTTCTGCATGTTCAATATTGTGTAAGTTGAAACAGAAAGGTACGCTATTCTAATTTTCAAGAGATAGTTCCACAAAGAAAATTTCTCAAACCTTTGGAGTACCAACAGCTATACTGATATCTATATAGTCTCTATATATGATATCATCCCCATCAATTACAGCATTGATAATAGATTGATTTTGGAGACCACTAACAGCAGCCTGAAATTTACAAAAGAATTCATAAATATCTTCAAATTGAACTATAAACACAGAAAAAACAAATGAATGCTCATGCGCATGTGCCAGATGCATGAGCATACATGTGAGAGCACATCTATGACCATGTTCAATAATATCAATATTAAGCCATAGACTTACTACCTACCTTCACAAATCCAGACATAAGTCCCAGCTTGACTCCATGCTTTTCAACAAAGGAATCCTTGTAGTCAGATCGGAGTTTCATCAAATTAGTCCTACAAGAAGCAGCAAATCAACAGGGAAAATAATAACAAAACTATGTTCACAAAAGTGTCATGTCAACCATGTCAAGCTATGCAAAGCAAATTGGTTGAATGTTAACCATGTCATGTCAACAATGTCTTTAAGACAACTTGGTAACTTAAATGCTGAACTCTTCATTGGTTTTGTTAGGTTCTTCATGCATCTCAATCTGGTCTTAGATTTGTGAAATGAGCAATAAACCACTAGCCAAGGATCTCTATTGATTCCCAGGTTGATAACTTGGGTAGAGCAGACCAAAGTGGCCAATGCTTTTGTGGCCTTAAATTTTTAACCAAATATGATTGATAATTTGTACCAATGAATCCAACCTAGAAGAAAACCTAAGATGTTCTAATACTCTTTAAAGCGTATAGAATCACATGCATTCAATGGTCAACATTCTGTTTTAACTTACCCATGCAGGTCATTAACGCAGAAAACTAAAGATATAATCGGAAATTTTAGAAATGTTAGCATTGGACTTCCCAAACCAAGAACCAACCTGAATTAGCTAGATTTAACCAGATCTATTAATTGCAGTGTGATATTTTTTTTTATTATAAACTGAACACTGAACTTGGTCAGTCAACTCTGTTTAAGCAACATCAAATGATAAACCTGAATTAAAAGGAGTCTCTAATCTAGTCCACAGATTTGACGAAGTCTGGCATAAGCCACCATCATAAACCAGCAAAGTACTACAAATATGGATTTACACTTACATATCAACTTCATTAAATGTTGTCAGCAATGCAAATGTGTTTTGAGAATCTTTTAAGCGGATCGCAACTCGTTTTTTGAGCCTTGTCATAAGAACCTATAATCATTATAAACTCAAATTTTATATTCAAGCAGGATGATGCATATTTTCTTTGAAACATTCACAAGAACATAAAATTAGATTAATGCATTTCTACTTTCTAGTAAAAAGTATTTTGCTGTATGAGTATAGAAATGGAACTATGCGACTTACGCGTCTTTCCCTTTCTTTAGAGGGAAGTTGGGGTTCTGTAGTAGAGCGTTTAGGGGGAGTAGTAGAAATACACTTAGGCTGAGTGCTTTCAACTTTAGGCTTTTGCTTATCCTCTTCACTTAGTTCAACAGGAGGTGGCTGAGAAACAGCTTTGTCTGTTGTCTTCTCAAATGGAGCAACATGGGCAACACCTTCACCAGACTTTGAAATGACAGCAATCTTGGTACCTGGCTCCACAGTATCCCTTTCCGTGGCTACATACTATCAATAATTTACATACAAATTCAGAATCAGAACCATTCCAAAGGAAAGATAGGGAGAAGTGTAGTGAACTTGTATAAAAATAATGATAACAAATCCAAAATAATGATATTCAACCTTTTGGATTACACCTGCTTCAAGACTTGCAACATCAATTGTCACCTGGTGGAAGATAGACAATCCAAATATTGAAAGCATAAGTCGTGTTAAGAACTTTAGAAGCTTAAATTACAACATTATCATGTTGTATTACAACAAGTACCTTATCTGTTTCAATTTGAGCAATTGGTTCATGAACTTCTACCTTGTCACCAGGATCTGCTCCCAAATATCAAATACAAAACACCATCAAGCACTTAAATTCATAGAGAATAGACATTTACATGGTAGAATTTGGGAAAGAAATATGAATCTTATTACTCTTCAAGAATTTTGCAAGAGTTCCATCACTCATAGATTCACCCATAAAAGGGACAACAGCTTCAACCAGATCACCTGCATTGCACATGTACACAAGAGGAACAAATTCAAAAGTATTAGAAATTACCAACTACAAGAAGGAACACAGGGCAAGAATAAAAAAGTGTGATGTGCTAATAATTTAGATGCTATCTTGGCATCTTGTTTGTGTCAGGATAACAATCAGTTATTGAATAACATGATGTATCATCCTCAGCCAATGTTATATATTTGAAATCAATGAATTGTTAAGAGGTTTGTACAAATGAAAAATTAAATTTAACATGTTGGAGAAAGTAAAAAATAAGCTTATCTTTTCCAGGAAAACAAAAACAAACCTAAAGCAGTCGCCATGGTTTACTTTGAAGTTGCGAAACCCTAGAGAGGGAGAGATGAATAATTTAGGCAGTAACAGAGGGAAGAGAAACCGTAGAGAGAGAAAGACGAACAGAGACAGAGAGAGACGTAGAGGGAGAGAGAGGATTGTAGGGATGAGTTTTTGTTATGGATAACAGAGAACTATAAAACATGTGTGGGCTATGTCCGAAGTGAGAAGTCGACGCCGCTGCTGCTACAAGTAGTCCGTGAGGGTAACGCGAAAGCGAGAGAGGGAGAGACAGAGAGATTGTTAGGGTCTGTGTGAGAGGAAAGAAAAGGAGAGGAGGGTTACCTGGAACTCTTCCGACGTTGGAGGTGTTGGGGATGCGAGAGAGAGAGACGACTGGGAGAAGATGGATGTTTTTTTTTCAATAATGTTAGCTATCATGAAAACAATGTCATGAAAAGTTTTCATGAAGATTCTCTACTCTTGGATTAGATTATAGTGTTTGTAGTGCTTTATTGTATGTTATGCATTCACCCTTAGATTAGTTTTATGAAGTTTTTCATGATATTTATTTCATGATACGTATTTTTTTTCCTTTTCTGATCAGAGAACCGAAAGGATAGGGAAGAGGGTGTAGGGAAGATGGGGAAAAGAGGGAGGGCAAAAATATGACATTTTGCGACGGATGAATAAAATGCGTTGCAAAAAATTAAAACAAGAAAAAAAAATGACGGGTAACAAACCGTCGCATATAATACTATTTTTTGCCAGTCTTAGATTTTCCGTCGTAAAAAAATTAAAGCGACGACTGCTTCATTTGCCATGGTAAAAACATGATTTTTGCGACGGTTTTCAAACCGTCGCAAAAGGTTCCGTGGCTAAAACTCCCTTTTCTAGTAGTGTTGAACATCACAATTTTCACAATTTTAACTACAAATTTGTTAATCAAACTTGTATAATCCAACTTATCCACTAAATCATTTTGAATGGACAAAATTGTTAATTTATTTAATTTTTCTTGTGACGTAGTTGACCGAAAGTAATATTTAATCAATTTTAAATTAAAAAAATTCTTTTTTCATAAATAACTATAACTGGTACAATTAATTGTATACCCCTTGAAGTTTGTTTAAAATATGGATTATAAATACCCTTTTATATGAATTTTTTATTTAATAGAATTAATTAAAATAAAATAAAATCTCTAATTGATCTTCTATACAATAATAAAATTACTTGAATTTTTAATTAAAATAAATTTCTAATATCATTAAAAATTGTTTATTGACTTAATGATTTATTAATAAAATGGGCAATTTATTCTAAAATTAAAAATTTCGAATGGTGAGATGTAATTTCTAGAACCACATGAAACAAATTATAATTTAAGCAAATTTCAAGGGTTGTATTTGTAACATATCCTTAATTGTATTATATACATAAAACATACATTTGATAAATAATCCTCCATTAATTTGAAATAACTCACAATTTCAATTGGCTATTTGATTTTTTGTAATAAAAATAATTATCCATTAGTTTTAAATACTACACCACATCAACCAACTGTCAGTTTTGAATTTTCACCATATTTAATCAGGGCTTTTCAAATTTGGATTTTTTTTCTTTGTTTTTGGAATAGTATAATCGCTGCAACAAAATTCTAGGGACTTTTTTCTTACTCATTTTTCAGAGAAGTGGCGGCATTGCTCGCTTTGGGCCAAAGCCAGCCTAGTAAGACTTATCTCCCTCGCTACATTATTATGGATGGATTTAAGACTCTAAATTGTGGGTCTCTAATACTTTTATTTTCCTTTTTGTCTTTCAGAGTAATATTCTATCTTCTCCTTATCTGTTATGTTTTATTGTTATTTGGAAAATATTATCCTCCTTTTTTCTTGACTAAAAAAATGTAATATCTTGTCAATAGTCTTGATTTTTCAAATTTCGCAATGAATATTTTTGTAATGATTTTTTTATGATAATTTAACAGTTTTTCTTTAAAATTGAAAAACTGTTGAATTATGTATTTTGTTAAACGATTTAAGAAACAAAACAAAATATTTACAGACATCTAGCCAATAGTGGATCACAACTTGTGTCATAGTAGTATGCTTTTTTATTGTAATTTTGTTTGCAAACAAACGTTAAATTAATAAACAAATTATTTGGAGTTTTTTTTTTTTTTTTTTTTTTTTTTTTTTATCGGCAAAGAGAAATTATTTGGAGATGTTAGGTATTTTTTCTAACAACATTTGACTCTATAAAAATTATTATATAATTTTTGTTTATCCTACTAATCAATTAGACTTAACTTACTACTCAATTAAATCGCACTTACTAGTCAACAAGACTCCACAAACTACTCAATCAAACTTGACTTACTACTCAACACCACTACTACTACCACCACCACCACCACCATGTCACCACCACCATTATCACTGTCATTGTTGCTATAAAAACCATTAAAATTTTACTACTACTATCATCACTACCTCTACCACTACCACCGCCAACACCATCACCATCAACATCACTATACTATTACTACTACCACCACTACCACCATGCCACTGTCACTGCTATCGTCAATACCACTATTACTACTTCTATCACCATACCATTGCCACCACTCCCATGCCACTACCACCATTACCACCACCACCACTATCATATCACCACTAGTGCTCAGTCAAACTCCATTTATTACTCAAATCAAATATGACTTATTACTCAATAAGACACTACTTAATTGGACTTGACTTACTACTTAATTAAATCTCACTTTCTACTAAATTAGACTCTACTTACTATTTCATTAGACTTATCATTGTCCCAAAAAAGTTGAAAAATACTTATTGAGCTTCCATTTACTACTTCACTAGACTCCACTATCTACTCAATTTTGGTTTTACTTACTATTCAATGAATTTCCACTTACTATTTTATTACAGTTCACTTACTACTCAATTTTGGTTTCATTTACTACTCAATAAACTTCTACTTGCTACTTTACTATACTCCATTTACTACTAAATGAGCTTCCACTTACTACTTCACTAGACTCCATGTACTACTCAGTGAGCTTCCTCTTACTATTTCATTATAATTCATTTACCACTCAATGAATTTCCACTTACGATTTTATTAGACTCCACTTACCACTCAATGAGTTTTTACTTATTATTTCATTACACTGAACTTACTACTTAATTTTGATCGTGACGATGTCATCGTAGCAATTATAGAAGATCCACTCTTGGTTTTTGAATTAGAAATTTCAGGCTTCTTTGTTGATGGTGATGATGATTTTGTAAACTATTTGCCAAATAGTTTATGTGTTCATGGAAAACTATTATTTTGTCATAAATATTGTGAAAATCATAATGAATAGTTAGTATTGTGTTAGTAAAATCATATTATAGAAACTTTTCTCTGTTTTCTATCGAGTCAAATATCATTTCAAACACATCTTTTTCAATTAGTTGATCCATACACTTAACATCTCTTTTGGTTACGAGATCATCAAAACCAACGATATTCTCTTGATTGCCAATGTTGTACTTACTAGTATCAAAAGCATCATCATCATCATTATGTAATTCATATACGGTGTTGTTATGCCCAATGTTACTTTCCATATATGGTAAGTATAATAAAATTAATTAGATCAAACCAGATGGTAAGTGATATTATAATTAGTTAATGTGACTTCAATTATTGTTTTATTAGATTTTACTTACTACTAAATTAAATCGTACTTATTATTTAATGAGTTTCCACTTATTATTTCATTAGACTTTACTTACTATTTAATTAAATTTCACTTACTACTCAAAATCTCCACTTACTACTTCATGAGCTTCTAGTTACTACTTTATTAGACTTTACTTACTACTCAATAATCTTCCATTCACTATTTCATTACATTTCACTTATACTTTATGAGCTTTTACTTATTTTTCATTAGAATTCAATTATTATTCAATTGACTTTATATAGCGATCCTGGTTCTTTCTCCTTTGATTGTTGTATCCGGACATAGGTTCCGTGGAGTTGGTTGTTGTATATGTCTTGTTGTCACCTTTTAATTCCATATATTTGGGTTTAGGATGTGTTGGCCGTGTTTTGAACAGGTTGGTTGAGTCTTGGTTCCATTTCTTATTGCCCAGTTTTCTGGTGGTCCGCTCGAGCGAATCCTTTCGCGCTCGAGCGGGGTTTGCACACTTCCAGCATTTTATGCCTTTGCAAAAGTACTATAGGGTTGTTTTTCACGCTCGAGTGGAGTTCCTTACGCCTGAGCGGGTCGTGCTCGAGCGGGCCTTGTTGCGCTCGAGTGGGTGTCCAATGTCTGTAAAAATACTGGCAGAGGGTAATCTACGCTCAAGCGGGTTTCTATTTGCGCTCGAGCGGGTGTGTTTTGTAGCTGTGTCTTGGCGCTCGAGCAGGTATTCTTGCGCTCGAGCGGGTCCAGTCTTTGTGCTTGACGCTTGAGCAAACTAGTTGTATATCAGATAGCAGTTGGGTGATTTTAAATCACTTTTCACACTTTCTTTCTCTATCTTACTTTCAAAACCTCCATTGGAGAGCACCTCACTCTAAAACTCTAACTTCTCTCTAGGGTTTGATCTAGTAGGAGTGATCTTCTATCATTGGGCCTTTGCAAAAAGTGTGGAGCTTGTTGAGGGCTACATTTTGATTAGAAAATATTGGGGTTTGGAGCACTTTCAAATTTCTTCATCTTCTCCTTTGAGCTCCGAATTTGAGGTGGGGATAACTATTCATTTTGATGGTCTTTGACATAAACTATTGGTCATTTTGATGTAATGTTGAAGTTGGGTAATTTTGGGCGTTATGGTTTCAAAATGAATAAAGAGGGGTTTGGTTATTTTTGACTCATAAATGTGTATCTTGGGTCTTAAAAATGATGGTATTGATGTTGTTGATGATATATGGGACCTTTGGGTCATTGTAGAGAAAAAGGAGGAGAAAGCCCTAAATTGTTGTATGAATTAATTTATATAATTAATTTGGGAATGTTATGGAAATATGAAATTGAGTTGGAAATAATGAAATTGGCTCATTATAAGAGGGAATAGTGGAGTTTGATTTATTAATCGCTCACTTATGAAATTATTGTCAAATTATCTGTTGATGCATTTATTATCTGTTTAGAAATAAATTGCTTGGGTTATCAGTGGAGGGTAGTCTTGATTGTTGTAGACAATGTATGATGATTAGGCGAATTAAAACTAATCAATTGATTATGTCATCGAATATGACGGTTGGAATAATACATCAAATTTATGTATTGACTGCTAATGTATATGATATGTGCTTATATACATTGTGTTGTGTGGGAGGAGATAGGGGATGCACTCCACGATTTAGGGGAAGATAGCGGATGGACTCCTAAACCGGATATTTGGAAGGAGATAGGGGATGGACTCCATTGATATAGCAAATATGTGTA